TTGGGTGTGTTGGCCAGTGCTGCGCTCTGCAGGGCTGAGGTGGTACGTGCTGCTGGCTGGAGCGCGTTGGTGGGAGCAGGCGCTGAGAAGCCAGGACTCCAGGGGTGTGTCTAGACTACAGAGATTTGTCGACAAACTCTCCCTGCGTCCACACTGCCGCTGAGCTCTGTCGACAGGTGTTATTGCAGGTAACCTGTCCCTGCGTCCACACTGCCGCTGAGTTCTGTCGACAGGTGTTATTGCCTGTAACCTGTCCTTGCGTCCACACTGCCGCTGAGTTCTGTCGACAGGTGTTATTGCCTGTAACCTGTCCCTGCGTCCACACTGCCATGTCGACAAAGCAGCTTCCTTTGTCGCCAGAACTCAATGTGTCTAGACGCTCTTTGTCGCCAGCAGCCTGTCGTCTAGACGTACCCAGGCGGCCCTGGTAGGCGCCCAGCGGCGGCATCGGCGGGGGAGCAGCAAGGGCCATGTTGGGATCAGGCTAGGTCCGTGGCCTGGGCGGGGTAGTGCCGGGGCCTTGCTGCACAAGGCGTTAAGGGAGGGCAGTGGGGTCTGCAGGCTCAGTTCGTGGCCCTGCGTTCAGTGGTACCAGTGGCCTAGGGAAAGCCGGCGTCCTGGTGGCCACGGTCTGCAGCTGCCCCCGGAGGGGTGGTAAATCGTGCCGAGCCGCTCCGGGAGTCTCCCTGCGTGGGGCGCGGTGCCGCGCCCGCATCTAGGAAGCTCTGGGGAGCTGGAGAGTGCATGGGGGGCCATGGCCCCTGCCTGGCGCTGCTGGGGAGAGCTGGTGCCGGCCCTGTGCCCGCCCCACGGAGGAGGCTCCGGGTCCAGCGGTGGCCCGGGGGGCAGGGCTCAAGGCTGTTCAGTCCGGCAGATGGGCAGGTGGCGAGATCCCCGGAGCGGCTGAGGCTGCGGCTGGCCTGGCGGAGTCGCCCTCCCTGCGTGAGGCCCGGCGGGTCGCTGGAGGGGGCAGACAGCTGCTCACAAGGGGGCCTGTGAAATGGGCTTTGCGTGGGCAGAGACCCCTTGGGACCCTGGGTCACACGCCGGCCCCCCCGGCACGCGGAGCTCACTCAGCCCGTCCCCCCAGATTTCACAGAGAACGTGGAGTTCGGCCTGGAGTCGCCCCAGGTGATCAAGGAGGGGGACAGCGTCAGACTGCGGTGGGGGCAGACAGCTGCTCACAAGGGGGCCTGTGAAATGGGCTTTGCGTGGGCAGAGACCCCTTGGGACCCTGGGTCACACGCCGGCCCCCCCGGCACGCGGAGCTCACTCAGCCCGTCCCCCCAGATTTCACAGAGAACGTGGAGTTCGGCCTGGAGTCGCCCCAGGTGATCAAGGAGGGGGACAGCGTCAGACTGCGGTGCCAGGGGGACGGGCACCCCGAGGGGGCCTGTGAAATGGGCTTTGCGTGGGCAGAGACCCCTTGGGACCCTGGGTCACACGCCGGCCCCCCCGGCACGCGGAGCTCACTCAGCCCGTCCCCCCAGATTTCACAGAGAACGTGGAGTTCGGCCTGGAGTCGCCCCAGGTGATCAAGGAGGGGGACAGCGTCAGACTGCGGTGCCAGGGGGACGGGCACCCCGAGCCGGAGTACGTCTTCTACCGGGTGCAGGTACTGGGGGCCTAGCCCAGGGATGAAGG